CCATATCAATGCAACGTGTTGCTGTCAGAAACAGTTTTCAGGGCTGTTTAATAAATAAAATCACAGCTTCTGCTGTTCACGTGCTTAACATGAGACACAAGTCGTTTATTCCACTTAGCGGGGGAACTATTTTTTAATTTTCCAAAACAAATCATCATCAGCCAGAGTTAATTCATTTTTAGCTAAGCTACCCAAAAACTTGTACGTCTGGCTTCTGCACGTGTACTACCAAACACAATGGGGCCACAGTCATAGATGAGGCCATGGGCTCCAAATAGTCTACACCAAATAAACATCGAACTGTAACATCGTAACACTGAAATAAAGGCAGGGGAGGAGGCGTGTTGAAAACAGCACATCACAGAGCACACGTGCACTTGCAATGCTTTGCAGGCGGAAATGACTGAATAACAAAAGTCATAAAAATATCTGCAAGATTTTATATATGGATATATAGATAATCACAGATTTATAGCAAAGTCTTGAAATGGGGCTAATTGCAGGAAAGCATCGGCACAAACAAAACACATCATATGTAATCTCAGAAGAATGCACGAATAAATGTTTTTATGGACTGATGCCATGTTGTGTCTTTTTCTAGTGCACTTTTGCCCCACATTACTCTTGAGTTATGGGCTGGTTTCACCCGATCTCGTCTTATCCGAACTCTAATTGAATGAGGATAAGAGAATTGGTTTACTCCAATTAAAGGCCGAGCGGCCGTTATTCACAGAGTAGAGTATTCTGTGGAGGAGATTGATGTCCCGCTGGCTGTGGGCCACATGTCGTCTGTACTGGCCAACTAATTCAATCAGGTTTACGGAGAGTGGCGTCATGTGAAAAAGCAGGTCCAAGGAGACCCTGTCCTTACCCTGTGTGTGTGTGTGTGTGTGTGTGTGTGTGTGCGCGCGCTACAAATCTATTAAACCCCTTTACCGCTAAGTGCAGGGCTCCATCTCTCTAATAGCAACATATCACAGTCCACTTTGTTTGCAGGCCCTTCTCAGCGCTTCAGCAAAATGAAGTGAAATATTTGCCTAAAACGTCAAACAATGGGAAGCTTTTACAAACACATGTATGCTGGATAATTGATGAACAGGCTTTTATTTATAAAGTAACAGGTGAAGGATGAATAACTTAAAAGGGAAATTTTTGTTTGTTTTTTTAAAGAGCAAAAAAGAGAAAAGTGACGGGGAGACGAGACAAAAGACACGAGGAGGCTGGAGATTTGTATCGAGAGGACAGAGGCAGTTTGAAGTGATAAAGAAAGGCTGAAAGATTGCAGTCGGATAGAGGAGGAGGTGGGGCGGGGATGATAAAAGCATCCCATTCCCATCTTGAGATTTTAACCCATGGCCTCTCACAAGGACCGATTACTCACCCACATCAGCACAACCCAAGCCCAGGACGCAGGCATCGCTGCCGCTGAGCACACAGCGGATGACATCAGCCAAGACGCCTGCACACACCTCGGCCTGGTCGAGAGAACAAAGGACAGCGAGCAGCTTGTGAAGAAGCGCACGAGCCAAAGCAGAACGGGGATGCAGACTGAGTCCCTTGGGCTCAGATACTGTAAGCAGAGCTTGGATAAAGCTAATTGATGGGCTGTGTGATTGTGGTGCTATCCAGGGCCTATCAGTTTTCAGGTCATCAGACAGAGAGAGGGACTAACGGTGTAGG